TTGCAGAGGATAGAGGAATTTGATAGTATAGGTTGATGTCCTGTTTCTTTAATGTGTTGCCGTATAGAGGAAACACAGGAGTTACTCAATTTTTTTTGTGTTTTGATGGTTGTAAATCATAAGTGTCGTAATCTTGTTTATTATCTAACTTTACATACTTAGATTGCTAAAAACCTGGATTCAGTTAGTCCCTGTGGTAATTAGAGTATAGATAACCCATTGTGTAGTTTTGTGCCAAAACAAACGCACCACCCTTTCTATTTTGGCTGTCTCTTGTATTCTCATAGTCTTGACTATTTTTGTGTAATTATTTTCTGGTTTATTTGATTTTAAATTGCATACATGGTAACTTTTAAAAAGTACAGAATTTTATTGTTGTAATTGAGAGGAGAGGCCCATCACCGACATAAGCTTAATAGACTCATTCATTTCAACACCATTCTTCATGTTCACAAATGACTTCTCTTCTTGTACTTCCTGTTTCCTCCTTTTTTTGTTCAGCTTTTAATAACTTGTAAATGAAAAGGTTAAGCTGCCTTTCATGTTCACCTAAGTTTATTTCTAAGAAGAATCAACAAAATTATTAACTTTATCAAACATCTTTCTACTGTAAAGTTTTGTTGTAGTGAACTACAATTTGTCTTTCTGATTATATGTAAAATAATAAAAAACAAAAGTTATTAGTACATAAAAAAAACTATAAGAGGAAACAAGGTAAAAAACGTTACTCAGCAATGTTTGTAATGCTTTAAATTTTAGATTTATTGCATATGTTGACTTACTATGTTTTAATGAGTATTCCGAAATGGTCTTACCTCATCTAACCCAAAGCTATCTCGATCTTGGACTGCCCTCTAAACATTGTTAAAATTTTTTGCTAACAGCTCACTAGTCTTTATACACCATCAGTTTCATGCCATTTCAGTACGTGTGCTGATCATGTGGCTACCCTTCACCAATAATACTGCACCATATATACTAATGTAGCTAGCTCCCTCCACTATTTTAGAACAATCTTCACTTTCTTGATCGGCATTCTTTTCATATTCTTACACATCTGTTCTTTCAGTGCAGTTGCTTTCCACTTGATTGGATATTGATATGCCTTCACTGGCCCCTCCACTTTTGCAATGTGGGATTCTAGCTTTGGGTGAAAAGAGGTAAGACCATTTCCAGGTTAACATTTTCTTATACTGAAAATGTATTTCCGATAAGTACTTACCTCCTTTCACCCACTTCCCACCCTTCCTCTCCACTAATATGCTGGTGTTTCTGGTTTCTACCTGCCAATTCTTGAAAATCAGGATCATTGTAGAATAGCAGAGGGAGCTAGTTGTGCCAGTATAGATGGCGTAGTGTGATTGGTGGAGGGTAATCACATGATCAGCACATGTTCTGAAATGTCACAAAACTGATGGGGGTATAAAAGAATGTTAGTGAAAAATTTTAACAATGCTTAGAGGGTAGAAACGAGATAGCTTTTTTGTGAGCACTTACCAGAAATACCAACTATGATAAAAATATATGTATATTCTTTGTTTGATCAACCACACTATTTTCTTTCCAGTTGTTATGCGATGCAAATTTAGAACACTTATTAAATTCTTTTATCTTTGTATGTAACAATTGACATAATTTTTTTTACCTAGCTTGTAAGATTTAGTATTATTCTTTAACATATATAGTGATCTCATTTCATGGTTCAACTGATTTTTTTTATGCCAGCTCATTCTATTAGTAAACTGATTATTGTTTCTATCTCTTTGCTTCTATGGAGATACAGTAACCAAACTTTTATTAATAACTGATTAAAAGGCAAAGTAGCAGCTCTTCAGTGAGCACCCTTTTTATCATTTCCTTATTACAGTAAGTCAGGTATTATCTTTAACTCGTTTCTGAGACTCGTAGTTTGAAAACTTGTGGTTTGTTTTGATGCTTTGTTCCAGTCCAATAAAAGAGTATCATGTAACTTAAATTGTAGCTTCTACTTTGTGTATGTGTGTGTGTGTGTGTTTGAAGGTTATTATATGTATTAAATAGGGATGTTTTAACAGTAGGAGGTATTGTTGGATTTTGGTTATACTTTATTTTATTTTATCTCAGATACAGATTATCATCCATATTGTCAATGTTAGAAAAATTAGTGAAAGCTTAACTTTTAAACCCTTTATCTAAATTTGTCCATGCTGTTTCATCTTGTCTGTAAATTAATAACATTCTGGATGGTATTAAACATTAAAGTTTTAATCCTTACAATTTTGAAGTAAGTTTCAGTTAAGCTAAAGCAATATTGCAAATGATATTATTATTCTGACTTATGTACAGAACTCTGCAAAAATAATCCGCACAGCTGTGTTTGGATACGACGAGAACCTTAAGATGAGGAACCAGTTCGGGTTTCCTCAGAACAACCTAATGATCACAAGCGTAGACATCCAAAGTGTGGAACCTGTGGATCAGAGGACAAGAGACTCATTACAGAAGTCTGTACAGCTGGCTATTGAGATTACTACACAGAGTCTAGAGGCTACTGCTAGGTAAACATTTCATGTCTTCTAATTAATCTGCAATCAGAGACATATTTTGCTAGTAATATATTTGGAATGGGTATAAAATCATGTTCCTTTTTTCTATAAACATTGTAAGATACAGGGAATTTATTTCATTATAATTAGCAGCAATGTGGTTCTCAGCAAACAGGATTTTTTTATTGTGATTTCAAAGTGTAATGTTATTGAATAATGTTGTTTTTTTATGAAGTTGTAAAAATTTTTACACTCCATTGTAAGTGATGCAGATTGTAACCTTTTCTTTATTCCAACTTTCTTTTGATTTGTGTAACAAGTTAATTTCTCATGGATATCATATTTAACAAAGGTATTTTACAATACATTTTATTGCTTGACTTCTTGAACATAGCAAATGTGATTTGCATTAAGACATTGTTGCTGAAATTTTGAAAAATCTTCTAAGTGATATTTGAAGTACATCTTATTGTTGGAACATACTAAACCATATTTAAACCTGGTTTAGTACGTTCCGGCAATAGGATGAACCAGAAAAACCTGGTTTAGTATATTCTGGCAGTAAGATGAACTAGAAAAACCTGGTTTAGTACATTCCAGCAATAAAATGAATCAGAAATCTTGTTCATCTTATTGCTGGAATGTAATAAACCAGGTTTATCTTGTTCATCTTATTGCTGGAATGTAATAAACCAGGTTTATCTGGTTCATCTTATTGCAACAAAATACTAAAACAGTTTTTCTGGTTCATCTTATTGTTGCAATGTACAAAACAGGTTTAATCTGGTTCATCTTATTGCTGCAATGTACAAAACAGTTTTTTCTGGTTCATCTTATTGCTGCAATGTACAAAAACAGGTTTTTTTTCTGGTTCATCTTATTGCTGCAATGTACAAAAACGTTGTTTATAATGATGCAAGAAAACTATGATAAAAAGCTAAAACATAAGCGGTTGACAAACCCATCCCCATTTCTTAAATTTTTACATAGCTTAGTATTTTATAAACTGTGTATCTGTTGAATATACCTAGGTAGACTTTTCATTTACAAATAGAGTTACTCACTTACTTCAAACTTTACTGGCAGGCATGAGGCAGAGAGGCGTGAACAAGAAGCCAAAGGACGTCTTGAAAGACAGAAGATCATGGATGAAGTGGAAGCCGAACATGCTAGAAAAGAACTGCTTGAGCTACAGGCTTCTAGTATGGTGGTGGAGAGCTGTGGGCAAGCCAAAGCAGATGCCCAAAGTCGTGTTGAATCACAACTGATAGAGGGCAAATCTGGAGTTGAAAAAGCCAAATTGAAAGCAGAGGCTTTGAGAATTGAAGCAGTAGGTCTTGAAAATTATTTTTTACTTGATATTAAAATGTTGTGTAACATAGCATGGTTTCTGATGACAAGAGACAATACTTTGGAGGGATGAACATTGTTTTGCTATGAGCACTTGTCAAAGTAAGCTATAGGTTAGAGATAAGAAAAACCTAAAATTCTTAAATTCTTTGTTATGTATGATAAAATGTAACAAACTCAGGTATTATCACACAGAAAGATTGTAGCATAATTCTTATTCTCTCTCTATAAAAAATGTAGTGTATATAAATATATATATATATGTTTTGCCTTACCTTCCCTATGTTAGGTATGCCGTTTATTTTTTCTCTTAGGAAACTGAACTAGAACGACTGACTCGTGCAAGACAAGCTGAGATTCAATATCTTCAGGAACAGAATAATTTAGAAGTGAAAAAAGCTGAAAAACTAGCAGATATTGATATTCAGAAGTTCAAAAATGTAGTGGGTTCTTTGGGTCAAGAAACAATTCGTTCCATTGCTCAGGCAGGTCCTGAATTAGAGGTGAGTGTGTAGGACATCATTTTAAAGTTCAGGATTTTACTTTTCAGTGTGATGGGAAATAAGATTTTATGCATGCATATCAAGTTAAAAAAAATTGTTGTTTTACATTTTTCACATGCTCTTTGCATTGTTATCTAGACAAAATAATACTTGTTTGAAATTTATAAGTAGAAGAAAATGTGCAAAAAAAACACCAATAATAGCTAGGATTTTGATAAATTCTTCCTAATCCATTTAGCATATGTGTTGTTTCTGCTTAAATCCATTATAATATTTCTAGCAGATGAAACTTTTATGAACTTTACTTAATTTTTATAAATGTTTAAATGTGTTTTACTTCTGTCTTAATCATATAATGCATTAAGAAATTAAGGCTTGACTGATGAGACATCTTTGTGTGACACCCTATATTCCAAACTCGTGTGTAAATACTGTCATAAAAACACCAAACCTTTAAATAAGTATCTAGTTTTATGACTGAAAATAAAAAAATACTTTTATGTTAAAACTAGGAAATTACAACTTTTTCAGCATAGTTTTATATTGTGAATCTTAGTTTTAATATTTGTTGATGCTTGTGTATAAAAAATCTAATGTATCATTTCCTGTTAAAATGAGTTACATATTGTTACAGTAGACTTGTTTTGGAATAACTCTTAATACTTAATTTAAATGCTGGATTAAATAGGAATATATTAACCATTATCAATGGCTGTATTAGGGATTGAAGGTTATACATTTACTTTTTGAAATATTTAAAAGTGTCCCATATTTTATGATATCTTTCCAGGTGAAGCTCTTACAAGGGCTCGGCATCCAATCAGCATTAATTACAGATGGCGTAACTCCTCTTAACCTCTTTAGTACAGCAAAAGGACTTATTGGAGTCAAATCACCTCAGGTATAATGTTTTTAGCAAACTAAGATGGTATATTATCTTTGGAGTGTGAAAACAACCTTGTTTGTAACATTCAACTAATCGATTATTGTTTATTTTTAAAAATATGATTGAAATGTTATGTACACAAAGACACTTGTGATTAATTGTTAAAATTTCTTTATTTT